TTGAAACGTTTTCATTGCTTGTTTTATTAATATATGCTACTAATATTATTTCATCTTCCAGTGCTGCCAGCTACTGAATGTTTACATATTTTCACAAAATGAGATAATATCATTGAAGACAAAAGCATAAATGATGTTTCCTTCTCCCTCATTGGCATTCTGGCATCTTCTCTATGAACGTTCTATGATGCTCGGATTGGAGGCATGACCCTCTCAGGTCTTCCATTCATTCCTTTATTATTTCCCATATATCGTTAACTATAATCACTGAATTGAAATTAAAAATAACAGAATTTACCGAAGAAATTTTTATTTTTATTTTAAAAAATTATTTTATAATTATTCCCAAGAGTTTCCTTGCGTTAGTTTGCTTGCACAGAAAAAAATCATGATTAATCGAATTTATTGGATTACGTCAAATAACATTCTGTTCTCAATCTGGCCACGTTAAAAAAAAAAAAAAAATTGTCAATGTTGCTCAACTAAAGATTACTATCTTTCACGTTCATAGTTGATTGATGATCATCATGAAAATTTCTGTTGATAAATGTCACCGCGGTCACAAACAATTTGGCTCTGAACATGTGGGAGGGAAAGAAAAAGCGATAGAGAAGATCATACTTTAATGAAACAAAATTATTGTCCGAATTCCTTTCTATACAAAAATTTGTGTTGGCTAAACTAAGTTAAAACTGTCACTGCAAGCTAGCACCCGTTGAAGCAAGTAGTGACTTTTAGGAAGACATCTTCTGTGCAAGGAATGGTGAGGGCACCCATTGGATGATCAAACCCAATTCTTCTTCAGCTTCACTTAACAATTCTTGGAAAGAAGGCTGATTCAAGTATGATATAGGGATAACAAATCTCTTCATTTCCTCTCCAACATATAATGCGAGATGTCCCTTTGGCACTTCAGCCACATTTTGCAGAGCTCACTTTGGCAGCGAAGGAAGTCCTCCTAATTCCTGGTAAACGAAAACCCATTGTTGTTTGTGTTTATGAAGAGAATAAGAAGGAAGCGTTTGGATAATTTTGATGCTTGAGAGTATGGGAAAGACTTGTGTTGCTCGCTTCTAAAAGCGTACGAGTATATATAGATGAATGGTGTAGGAAAGGTTATGTGATGGAACTTAATTATCGAAAGACAAGGGCATATAGAGATCACATGGAGCTGTCTCAGAGGTATTTCTCACAAAAACAAATGCCAGGATGAGAGCCAAATGAATAGCAAGGACATAAGAAATCCTTTTGTTTGAGATATGATTGAGGAAGGGTCAGGTAAGTGGTGTAGTCCAGAGAGACATGGATGAGAAAGATCACATGATAATGTTTTATGTCTTTCTCAAACGTAAGATCTTATATTTCTTATGGTTGTCAATTTCATTTCTTGACATGCTTGAGGCAAATTTCTCTTTAAATGACAACGGAGAGCATATGGGACAGCATGTCTAACTTTAAATGACAACTGAAAAATTCTTATAGGAGACATTGCGCCTTAAACTGTTCAAGTCTTCCTTCTTGAACATAAAACAGAGCCATGTGATTTTCGTTATCCATATCTCTGGACGGGATTACAACTCATTTTAGATAACTCTTTAGCAGTCATGACCCAGTCCCCCCATCATTATTTGGCTCATCTTGACTTGTTGCTTTTACAAAATGACCTCTAAGACACATCCATGTGAACTCAAGGTGCCTTTGTCTTCCAATAGCTAGGCTCTATCATGTAACTTCTAAACCACCAATTATTGTAGGAATACAGATCCATTCATCTATATATACTCATAATTGTATGCTTTCAGAAGCAAGCAACCCAATCTTTCACAATACTCTCAGGCATCAGTATTCACATCCTTCCTTCTTATTCTTCTTACACACAAGTACACAACAAGCAATGGGTTTCCGTCTACCTCTAATCAGGAGGGCTTCATTCGCTACAAAACTTACTACAAAATCTGGTGAAGTGCCAAAGGGATATCTCGCAGTATACATTGGAGAGGAAATGAAGAGGTTTGTGATCCCTATATCATACTTGAATCAACCATCTTTTCAAGAGTTGTTAAGTGAAGCTGAAGAAGAATTCGGGTTTGATCATCCAATGGGTGCCCTCACTATTCCTTGTGCAGAAGATGTCTTCATAAAAACCACTTCTTCCTTTAGTAGGTGCTAGCTAACCAAGACATGATCAGATTAGTCAACCTACACAATTTTGTAATCATTTTGCTTTGTAGAGATTTTTGTTCTTTTTCTTCCCCTACAGGGGAAGTGAAAAAACTGTTTATCTCAAAGAGAAGATGAATAGACATTTTTCACGTTATCTCAACCAACTGTCAATATCAAAGACATTAAACATATAGTTAAGGTGATCACGAGTTGTATCTCTTTAATCTTTAATCTGATAATTCAAGTTCAGATTTCCCTCCAGGGGTATTAACATCAGCTCCCTCAGTGGCTTTTCTAGAGAAGTGATCCCACATGCACGCCTATGCATATTACTTCTTTTTTCAATAAAAAGATCAATATATTAGACAAGGTAAAAAGACAATGTTGCAAGTCCAGTGTTCTCATCCAGTAACTAAGGGTGAGCTGAAAAATGATGACTAATGAGTCCCAGTGCTCTTATATTCCAACGGTAGCGTTAAGAAGAAGAGGAAAAGAAATGTTTTATTTGATACGCAAAATAATTAACTTTTATTTCATGGGAAAATCTATAATTTTTATTTTGAACTCAATAATTATAGTTTATAAACAAGGCGTACGTAGCATCATTTAAAGAAAATTATGTTTCTAACACTCGAGTTCACAAGCAACATATGTGTCCCGAAGCAAAGCTTCATCGAGTCCAATTTTTTTTTTTTTTTGATTTTGTCCGTTTTTAAGAGTCTTTAAATGTTTTATTAATTTGTACAAATCATAACTTTGATTGACCTAGGAAAAAGATTGAAGAAAAACATAAGCCAATTAATCCCAAAGGGAAAATTAGAAATGTTGAGTTCATGAGATGTTATATAGAAGAGTAAAGCTCAATCATGAGTACAAAAAGTTGTCGTAACGACAATTAATTACGCTGGTTAATAAACTGACGTGAAGTATTGAACGGTAACATTGTAAATTATTTGAATTTTTAAGTTAAGTTTATAGAAATTAAAGAACCCAAGTCGTAGAAACCAATTTTTAATTTAATTCTAATCTTGAATTTAAAAATAAATCATAATTAACAATCAAATATGTTAATTTTATTAATATATGCTTCTAATATTATTTGATCTTCCAGTGTTACCGGCTACTGAATTTTTACATATTTTCATAAAATGAGATAATATCATTGAAGACAAAAGCATAAATGATGTTGCCTCATCAGTCTCTCTCAGTGGCACTCTGGCATCTTCTATTCAAACGTTCTGTGACGCTTCGGATGGGTGGTATAGAACTCTCTGGGTCGTCCATTCATTCCTTTATTTCCCATCATTAAATGGGTTTCCTTTAGCCTTATAAATCATAATTACTGAATTGAAATTAAAGATAATATAATAGAATTTTCCCATTGAAATTATATTTTTATTATAAAAATATTTTTTATAATTCTACTAAATAGTTTCCCTGGATTAATTTGCCAGCACTGAAACGTTCATGATTCGAATTTACAGGATTAATTAATATATGACATTCTCTTCTCAATCTTGGCACGGGAAAACATATTTTGGTTGCCTATCAGTACTTTTCCGGCCCAAAAAGAAAAAAGATCAGTACTTTGACGATTCAGATCGCATGAAAATTGTCTATTGATAAATTTGTCACATACACAAACATTTTACATTTCCTATGTAGGGATGGGGCAAATCCTTAGAGAAACAAAATTATCATCTGAATTTGCTTCTATACAAAATTGTATTGACTAATCTAAGTTAAAACTGTCGTTGCGAGCTAGCACCCATTGAGGCAAGCAATGACTTTCAGGAAGACGTCTTCTGTGCAAGGAATAGTAAGGGCACCCATGGGATGATCATGCCCAAATTCTTCTTCAGCTTCACTTAACAATTCTTGAAAAGAAGGCTGATTCAAGTATGATATGGGGATCACAAATCTCTTCATTTCCTCTCCGACATTTATTGCAAGATATCCCTTTGGCACTTCACCAAATTTTGCAGAACTCACTTTTGCAGCGAAGGAAATCCTCCTAATTCCTGGTAAACGAAAACCCATTGTTGTTTGTGTTTAGGAAGAGACTAAGAAGGAACTGTTTGGATATGCTTGAGAGTATTGCGAAAGATTTGCGTTGCTTGCTTCTGAAAGCTTACAAGGATAAGTATATATAAACGAACGGTGGAGGAAAGGTTATGTGATAGAACTTACTTATCCGAAGACAAGGGCATCTAGAGATCACATGGAGTTGTCTCAGAGGTCTTTTCCAAAACCAAAAACAAGTCAGGATGAGAGCCAAATGAATAGAGAGGACATCAAAATTCTTTTGGTTGAGATATGATAGAGGAAGGGTCAGTTAAGCGACGTAGTCCAAAGAGACATGGATGAGAAGGATCACATGATAATGTGTTATGTCTTTCTCAAACGTAACATCTTATATTTCTTATGGTTGTCAATTTCAGTTCTTGACATGCTTCAAGCATATCTTACGCTTCCTTTATCTTTGCTGGTCCTTTATCTTATCGACATAAGGCTTTAAACAGTTCAAATGACTCTTCTTGAACACAAAACAGAAACATGTGGTTTTCCTTATCATGTCTCAGGTTTGTATTACAACTCATTTTAGATAGATCTTTAGCATTCATATCCAAGCCCTCCCTTCATTAGTTGGCTCATCTTGACTTGTTGCTTTTATGAAATGATCTCTAAGACACATCCATGTGAACTCCAGGTGCCTTTGTCTTCTAAGAGCCAGGCTCTGTTTCTTAACCACCAATTATTGCAGGAAGACAAATCCATTCACCTATATATACTCACACTTGTCTGATTTCAGAACCAAGCAACACAAATCTTTCACAATACTCTCAGGCATCATATTCAAATCCGTCCTGCATATTCTTCTTACAAAGAAAAAACAATGGGTTTTCGTCTTCCTGGAATCAAGAGAACTTCATTTGCTGCAAAACCGACGTCTTCGAAATCTGGTGAAGTGCCAAAGGGTTATCTCGCAGTATATGTTGGAGAGAAAATGGAGAGGTTTGTGATCCCTATATCATATCTGAATCAACCTTCGTTTCAAGAGTTGTTAACTGAAGCTGAAGAAGAATTCGGGTTTGATCATCCAATGGGTGCCCTCACTATTCCTTGCACAGAAGATGTTTTCCTAAAAGTCTCTTCTCTCTGTAGGTGCTAGGTGACAAAGACAAGATTAGATTAGTCCGCACAATTTTGTAATCCTTTTGGTTTGTGGAGATTTTTGTTATTTTTCTTCCCCTATACGGGAAGTGAAAAAATTGTTATCTCAAAGGGAAGTTGATGAATAGATTTTTCACGTTTTCCAACCAACTGTCAATATCGAAGCCATTGAACACATATATAGTTTAGTCTGGCTGCGAATTGCATTTTGTTTTAATCTTCTAGCAAAATTGAGGCAAAAAACTTATATTACTTGATCTAGTAATTCAAGTTCAGACTTCGCTAGCTCTAGGGGTATTAACGTCAGCTCCCTATTGGCTTTCCTAAAGAAGAGGTCCCAACCATACATACATACACATATGCATACTTAATTATAAACAAAACAACTTTAATTTGAGCCTCCCACTCTCACTTTTATTACTTCTTTATTTTTTTAATAAAAAGATCAATATATTACACAAGGTAGAAAGACAATATTGCAACTCCGGTGTTCTAATCCAGTAACTAAGGGTGAGCGGATAAATGTTGACTAAGTTCCAGTGCTATAAGATTCCAAATGTAGCGTTAAGAAGGATTGATAGGGGGGAAAAAAACAGTTTTATTTAACACGCAAAATAATGTTTATCTCCTTGTAAAATCTATAATTTTTATTTTCAACTGAACAATTATAATTTATAAAGAAGGCGTAGCATCTGTAACCCAAAAAAAAAAAAAAAAAGAAGGCGTAGCATCATTTATGTTGTTGTCTTCAATGATATGATCTCAATTCGTAAATCATGTGGACTCCGATTAATAGACAGTAAGACCATACGAACTAAATTGAATTTTCCTTGTCCACGTTGTTTCTCTATGGATATCTAACCCATGCAGCAGCCAGATCTCATAAACATTTTGACAAATGAAAAGGTCATGTGATCTACTATGGCCATTGTCCCCGCGTAAGAAAATTATATGTTCCTAATTCATGAGTTCATAAGCAACACATATATCATGGAAAAGAAGTAAAGAAAAACATATAAGCAAATTATTCGTAATGGGGGAAAATGTTTAGTTCATTGGTTGCTTAAATACTTCTCTGATCCTAAATATAAGACCCTTTTATTGTCTAAATTACACTACAAAAGAGGTCTTATGTTTGAGACTGGAGTAGTATTATATAAGAAATTATGGCTTCAATCACTTGTGCAGAAAAAAAGTTTCCTAGGATTAATTTACTTGCACTTATACAAAGACTCTTTCGTTTCTCTATAATCAAATCTACATTTGAATTTAATTTACTTGACTAAATATAACTCTCCTCTCAATCTTGCCACGAGAAAACAAACTTTGGTCGCCTAATGTGGAAGATCAAAGCCGTTGGTATTCATAATTGAATGAAATTGTGTGAAAATTATATTGACAAATTTCTCATTGACGCTGGTTTACAATTCCCGATTAGGGGAAGAAAAGGCAGGGGAAAAATCTTAACATAGCAGAAACTATGTGAATTGCCTTCGATACAAAATTGTGTCAACTAATCTAAGTTAACGTCGTCTTTGCTTGCTAGCACCCACTGAAGGAAGAAATGACCTTTAGGAAGATATCTTCTGTGCAAGGAATAGTGAGAGCTCCCATGGGATGATCATACCCGAATTCTTCCTCAGCTTCACTTAACAACTCTTGAAATGAAGGCTGATTCAGGTAAGATATAGGAATCACAAATCTACTCATTTCCTCTCCAACATAAATTGCAAGATATCCCTTTGGCACTTCACCAAATTTTGAAGAAGTCACTTTTGCAGCAAAGGAAGTCCTCTTGATTCCTGGAAAACGAAAACCCATTGTTTTCTCTGCGTTTATGAATAGAATGAGAAGGAAGTGTTTGAATAATTGTGATGCTTGAAAGATGTGTGTTGCTTGCTTCTGAAAGCATACAAGTATGGGTATATATAGATGAACGGTGGAGGAAAGGTAATGTGATGAGGCTTAATTATTGGAGGACAAGGGCATGTAGAGATCACATGGAGTTGTCTTCATGTCGTTTTCAAATAAAACTAAGAAGTTATGAGATGAGCCAAATGAAGTGAGAACTCTGTTCAAGCATAATTGAAAAGGATGAGCCAAGAATAATCCCCTTGAGAGTATTGAACAGATCAACAAGAAGCATGCATGTTTATTGCAATTCTGTAAAAGAGACTTTCAAAAGGCTCGATATTTATTTTGAATTTTAAAGACACGCCGCGTTTCTCACACTTTTAAGTTAAATGCTGCTCCAACGCGTTATCAATTGAAAGGATGAAGATAAGGAAAACATAAGAGATGTCTCAAGCATGTCTGGAAAGTGAAATGACAGTTAGAAAATATTTAGATTGACACTAAGCTTTGAATTGTTCAAATAATCCTTCCCATCCATAAAACATAAAGCAGAACCATGTGATCCTTCTCATCCATGTCTCTGGACTAGACTACAGCTCCTTTAGCTAACCCTTCACCAATCAAATCTCAACCAAATGGAGATTCTGAAGTCCTCCCTTCATTTGATCCTGACTTGATTTTTGAAATAGACTCTAAGACAACACCATGTGATCTCTAGTGTGCTCTTGTCTTTCGGTAGGCCCTAACACGCCCTAACACGCAAAGCCTCTCCCTCTACCAATTATTGAAGTAAAGCAAATCCTTTCATCTATATATACACTCAAAGTTGCAAGATTTTCCAAAGCAACACAACTCATCAACATATCCTCAGGCTTCTACATCCTATCTCTTTCTTCTTACGTTCTCTCTTATCCACAAAAAATGGGTTTTCGTTTACCTGTTATTAGAAGGACTTCATTTGCTGCAAAAGTGGCTTCGTCAAAATCTGGAGAAGTGCCAAAGGGGTATCTTGCAGTATATGTAGGAGAAGAAATGAAGAGATTTGTGATCCCTGTATCTTACTTGAATCAACCTTTGTTTCAAGAGTTGTTAAGCTTGGCTGAAGAAGAGTTTGGATATGATCATCCAATGGGTGCACTCACTATTCCTTGCAGAGAAGATGTCTTTCTAAACGTTACTTCTTCCTTCAATGGATGTTAGTTTGCAAAGGAAAAAACTTAGATTAGGAGACATTTTTGTAGAGGAGGCAATTTAGATCCTTTTTCTATGTAAAGATTTTTCTTTTTCCTTCTTTTGCTTCCCCGACTATTCGGAAATGAAATATTGTTTACATGAACGACAAATTTTGTCAATGGACATTTTTTCATGTTATCTCAATTAATTATGAATATCGAAGCCTCAAAGGCGTTGAACTTTCAGTTTAAGTGACAGAGAATTTGTATCCTTATCCTGCAGGCAAATCTGAGAAGCAGTATTGTATTCTTAATCCAGTAAATTCAAATCAATTTTTGCTTTACGATAACAAAAGCGTCTGTGCAAGTGGGAGCATACAATGCCCCAAAAACTCTTTAAGATTTTTTTACCAATAAAAAGTTGTACTTTGTACTCAAAAACTTGCATATCTATGTGTATTTCGTATTCAGTGATATTATCGATCTGAATTTATGAAAAACATGTGAACACAGCTCAATATACTGATAGATGACTAGGAACGAAATTCAATTTTCGGGGACTATTTTGAACGTTTGAAGACACCGGCATATACTGGATTAATAATGAAGTCCTGTGTCTCAAGAGATCATATTTTACCCTTGGAAAATATGGCACGACTCAATAAAAATTTTAAATTACATGTTTAATTAACAGCTTGTTATTAGATTTCATGAATATACATGGTTCATTTGTCTTCTGGCATGAACAAATATGGCATGCAAAATTCAATCATTCAGCTTATAAGATCACATTGTTCTACTAAAGATAAACCAACTTCATTTACTCCTCAAGTTTTAAATCAAGGCATCATGCTACTTAATTATGTCTCCAAATAGCCCTGTTATATTGCCATCTATCCATTTAGGCCCTCCCAAGATTTTGCAGATTTTGATCTATCTTGTATGAGTTGGCTTGATTGTTGTATATATATGCATAGTCTCATAACATCTTGAAAAGCACTTACAAGACAAGATCATCTGATCTCTTGCGGCCCTTGTCACTCATGTGATTGTAAGGTCAAATGTTGTTTTAAGAATTAAGAGAGAACCACGAGATTACAGTGCATGGCTTGTCTCACACTTTGTTCTTTATCGAATGGTCTTAGTTTAGATTGTGTGTGAGGCTATTTGGTGGATTTTTCGTGATTGATAGATCAGACCACGATTACTGAGCTTTTCAACAGGCCACAAGCACATGTAATAAGTGACATGTTTTGAGCATGTCTAAAAAAAGCACCCTTACATCACCTAAACAATAATCGAGTTCTCTTCTGCTCAAACGTTGTTTGTCAGATGATAAAAAATGAACCATGGGTAATACTGTGTTTCTGTAAATAAATAAAGAACGAGATTTTTATATTGAAGAAAACTAGAGACAGAATCATATGATCCTTCTCACCCATGTCTCTAGGCATTGGACTGTAGCGTGCACTCCATTGTACCTAAAAAGGAGACAACTCCATGTGACCTCTAGTGAGCCCTTGTCTCTCAATCATATTGGCCCTGCCCTACACCGCCCCTTTATATCCACAAATCAGAGAAGAAAATCAAATATTTCCGTCTATAAATACTCATACTTGAATGCTTTCGAAAGCAAGCGACACAAATCTTTCACAATATCCCCAAGCTAAGCATCAATATTCAAACACTACTTCCTCCTTATTTTCTTCGACACGAAAAACAATGGGTTTTCGCTTGCCTGGAATCAGAAGGTCAGCTTCATTTGCTGCAAAATCGACAGCTTCGAAATCCGGTCAGGTGCCAAAGGGATATCTAGCAGTTTATGTTGGAGAGGACTTGAAGAGGTTTGTGATTCCAATATCATACCTGAACCAACCTTCGTTTCAAGAGCTGTTAGGTGAAGCTGAAGAAGAATTTAGATTTGATCATCCAAGGGGTGCTCTCACCATTCCTTGTGCAGAAGATGTCTTCGTGCATGTCACTTCTTCCTTCAATGGCTGCTAGCTTATGAAGACAAGACTAACTTAGATTAGTTAATTAACACGACACAGTTTTGCCGAGGAAGTGACTTATGTCCTTTGGTTTTGTAAAGAGATGCGTTTTTTTTTTTTTCCTTTTTTCCTTCCCTACTTGGGAAGTGGGAAATTGTCCATCTGAATGAATTTATTAGGAGAATGTTTTCACCCACATCTCAATCTGAGTGAAGATTCATATTCTTCTTGCAGATCATCGAGGAAAACATTTGTTTTATTCTTTCATCTGGTAAAGTCGAATCAAAATTTAATTTATTTGAAAGTACCAAAAGCTTCCTTAGATGAGTGTGTTAATAAACTCTAAGAAATTCTAGTCATTACTTCTTATTATAAGAAGCTCCTGCATATTTAAATTATTAATTTTTTTCATATGATATCCTTAATTAAGTATAAAACTTCTCAATTAATGACTTTATTGATGATAATTTTGATATTTTATAAAAGATAACTAATTTTAACTTTATTAGTTTATGTAAAATTGTTGACAAATTAAATATAATAAAGAGGTTTTTTTAATTAATTTCAAATCAGTAATTTAAAACAGGAAGAAGCATCATTTTCTATTCCTGTGTTCGATAATATTAACTGTTAGGATTATTCGGATTCAAAATCAATAACTCTTGTAGGACTATAAGCAAGATTGATAATTTTCCACATTGGTCTCTTTGTTCTTTGGACCAGCCGTCTTCAGCCTGGCCACTGAATCCACTAGATTAATCAAGTCTTAACATATAACAGGTTGTTGTGTGTGTTTTGGGGGGGGGGGGGGGAGGGGTTTGATTTATTTGGTTTATAATAAGAAGAGTAAACTCCGAAGGGCAAATAATCAAATGCAACAATCTGTAGTGCTCCTTGTCTGCTTATATAAGGGTTTATTTAGAATGGTTTATAAGTAACTTTCAATGATTTACAAAATAAGAAAAAAAACATGTGAGAAAAATTTTATCTCCATCTACATGAAATATGCTAATAACTGCTTATAATCGTGATCTCAAACGAAACCTAAATGATGAATAATGCACAAATCCAATTCACCGTGTTCTCATGACCCGGATGTTGTCGAATGGGCCCAAGCGTCTGTATGGGCTGGGCAAAAAATGAATGGGCCAAGAATGATGTCAAGGCCTGTTGAGGGTGAAAGAAACGGAGTCATTTCAAATCCACGTTTATTTTTCCTGACCAACAAAATTTTTAGATATCAAATGTGTCGTCTAAATTAGATTTTTTTTTTTTTTCCAAACAGAACTGAGTCTAGTGAAAATAACTAATTCTTCATAACATAATGAATCCAGCTTTGAATTACTATTAAAAAAAGTACCTACATTTAGTGTCTATATATATAAAATAAATAAATTAGATTTTTTTTTCTTTTTTGATTAGAGGAGCAGTATGAGGATGAAAATGGGATCCAACGCATAACCACTCACTGATAGAAAATTTTCATGTCATAAGACGACTAATGGCAAATTGACAAATCAAATTCTTCATAAACATCTCAAAGCTAATAGTGACGCTTCGGTGGAGCAACAAAATATTTTATTATGGAAAAATTAAAAAAAATCTAATTAAAAAGCTTATGGATGAAAATGATTTAAATCAGAGTATTAATGCGTGTGTACCAAAAATTTGTAGTGCACCAGTATAATGTATATATTAAAATTTATCACGTTTTTGTTACGACTTCCTCCATTTTTTAAAAAATATAATTAATGAAAAACGAGTTAAAATTAGTTAGGTGCAATAAACATGTAAAATTAATTTTTTTTTTCAAAAATATCCTCATTTATGAAAAATGTGGGTGTGAGAGAGAGTGGGAAAAAGAGATGAGACAGACATTTAATTAATTGACGGTAAAACTGAAGAAAATATATTAAACATTCAAAAAGCTCTAAAATGTATCTTATAAAAAGAAACTTGGCTATTCAAGAAATTGTCTCATATAAAAAAGAGCGGAAGGAGACAGAGAGTAATAAATTTTTAATGGGGATTTTCTTCGATTTTTTCTATTTATTTTGATTGGGGATATTTATTACAATTTGCAAGAGAGGCTCGTGAATGTGGCGTTTGCTAGAACAGCTACCATCAGAGTGAAACGACGGCATTTCCTTTTGTCTGGGCATAAGCACAGAATGTGCCTTCCTTCTCCCGCAGAAGCAAAGGCGAATGCAATCTTCCCACTCCGTCATCTGCTCCGCAATTCACTCTTTGCATTCGATTCCTTCAAAAGCTTGCTTTTTTAACTCAAACGCATACTTCAATCCCCACTTCCCATTAGACAATTCCAAAACAGTGTCTTGCGGTGAAGGTATCGCTAAGTTTCCCACGCTTCCCTGTCCATTTTTTTCTGCGTCATTGACTTCTTTGCCTTCTTGTGCATCTTGGGCTTCTCCGTTTTCCTCTTCTTCCTCCATGGGAACCCCAGAAAACATTCTCGAACCTGAAGCTCAGAAGTATGTGTATTCGGTGTGGGCTCAACCAACGGAAGATGTGCGGGATAGGATGAAGAAGCTGATGAGCGGCCTCCGATCGGAGTTCGGTGGGCCTGAGTTTGAACCCCACATAACAGTCGTAGGCGCGATCAGACTGACTGCCGATGACGCTCTCAAGAAGTTCCGGTCCGCGTGTGAAAGCCTCAAGGCTTATAATGCCACCGTTGATCGTGTGGCTACAGGGACTTTCTTTTATCAGTGTGTTTACCTTCTGATTCATCCCACCCCTGAGGTACTCTTCCAATTTTCTTTTCTAGTTTTTTCTGTGGTTTAGTTATTTTAATTTCTGGTCTCTGTTGTTAGTTTTGTAGTAGTTAATGGACAAGCGATTGATCCACATGGCATTGAAATTGTTGTTCGTGTTCCTCTAAGGTTTTGAATTTTGATTATGAAGTTGTCAAATCAGCACCGATTCTGGACATGTGCTTTGATTGTAATGCATTTTGACAGTTAATATGTTATCTGTGTTAAATACTTCCATTCCTATTGATCCATTTTAGTTTGTATCTGTTGTGGTCATGGACATTGATTTTCTGCTGCAGGTTTATTAAAGCATTTCTCAGAATTGTAAAATTGGAATTGAAGGGGGGGCTTAATTTTTTCCCATTAACTTTTGAGCAATAATATTGACATAAAGTTATACTTGTGCGTGGCCAATTCCTACTTATGATCCAAATTTGGAAGGCTTTCTCATGTCATTTTTATTTTGATTCTCTCTATTTTTAATTTCTTTTCCTCAACAGGTAGTGGAAACTAGCGATCACTGCGTCAGTCATTTTGGTTACAATAGATCATCTCGTAAGTTACATGATATTATTTTTTGCCTGAAGCTTTATCTTTTTGCCGGCTTCTAGTGGAAGTCTATATACAAAAGTAAATCCGTTTTGTTTTACCACCTATGAAGCTGTCAGAATGCAGAATCAAATATAGGAAAGTATTGTATTGCTCAATAATGAGGAAAATCCTCTCAGTTTTTTAAATTCAGATCATGAAGCTGATTAAAATATATCAACCATATTTATGAGAGATTTGCTAGAGTTTTACGTTAGCTGATCCTCCTTTATTTGGCCTTGGGACCAACTATAAAACATAGACAGAGTTATGTTAACAATGAGATGTGTTTTACACATTTCAGATGTTTGTTATAGTGATAAGCGATGACTTATAATGAAGAATAGCCATGAAAAGAATATCTTAATGTGACAGAGATCTTAGGCTCTTACTGGTTAAGCGAAGCCTCTTGTAGCTAAACTCTAGAAGAAAACAGAGGCTGCAATACTGGATGCAGTTCTATCTCCTTTATCCTCATAATTAAGTGCAGTTTTGAGTACAGAAGAGGTGTAGTTTTAGATAGTGTACTAAAATTCTACTTCACTTTCATTTGAGATAACTCATTTAAACGTTTATGGTTTAGCATTGGAAACAGGGTCAGGACATTACTCCCACACAAGGCTTCTCCATTTTCTTCTCACCACCTTTATTTACTTCCCACCTAATGGGATTTGCTTCGTGTGCCAAGGAAAGTTTAGCCTTTTGAGTCGTACCTTTCTTAACCAAAAATGGAAAAAAAGAGTTATAAATACCCCAGGGTGAAAGTATGGCGTCAAGTGGCATATCCTTTTAAATCTGTTTGCTTTCTGAGTACAAACCCAGGTCTTTGGCTTCTCAAATACCGTAGTTCTTTGAAACTTAGATATCAATGACATCTTGATGAAAGAACATTTAGTTTTAACTCTTAGGTGACATGTTTAGGTTTAAGTTGACATATGCAAGGTTAAAATCTCTCAACCAGTATAATAAAACTATATATGGAGATAATAGGGAAAAACTCTCTTTTGCTCATGCTTATGTTGTTTATGTTTGCAGCTTACATGCCACACCTGAGCCTTCTGTATGGAGATTTAACTGATGAGGAGAAGAAAAGGGCTCAAGAAAGAGCCAATGCTCTTGATGACGTCAGCGGGTTGAGCTTTCAAATAAGTCGCCTTGCATTATACAAGACAGACACTGAAGACAAAACTCTGAAATCCTGGGAGAAAATTACTGATTGTGTTCTTAGTCCAAGTTAGCTTTGCTTATTATGACCTATTTTGATGATATCTGTTGAGGATTTGCTTGTGACTTAAATTTGACTCAATCCACAGTCTCATGAACCATATTAGGTCCCTGTTATGGAAATGATATAGAAAAGAGCAGATATGATCCTCGAGTGAAAAAACAGGGAACAAGCTCAATTTTTTATTTATTATTATTATTATTATTATTTTTTGAGGTCAGGGGGGAACAACCTGAAGTTGAAAGAAGTGCACTGAATTTTATCTTGGTATGCATGTGGTTTTAAGGGCAGGTTTGTCTATCCAAAGTTTAATTATATCAAGTTTGAAGAAATTTAGATGTTGCACAATAAAAAGGCACTAAATTAAAGATTTCTTGGCTGAACCATGAGTGTAAATTAAATACACCATATAGCCAAAATAAAAAGAATGAAAAACAATCATCGGCAATTGCAAAACGGTAACAATGAAAAGATTCAAAGGATTGTTGCTTGGTAGTTGAGCAAACTTGATAGTAACTTGAGCTTTACGAACTTGTTCCCTTGGGGAGGAATGTGAAGCAGAGAAAGTCAGCGCTGTGGTTTTGGACTTGTTAAACCACAGTTTACAATGCACCTAAGAAACTCTGAATTTAGAATACCCTGCAAGACGTGAGAAACTCCAAATTTATATTAAACCAAACTTCACATTTAGAAAACTTGTCATGAAGCTGTTATTATTCCATCAAATACGGATGGTGTTCATGATTTTGTTGAATCTTTGCATATGCGATACCACCAATAAACATAACTATAAAGTTTCAAAAAAAAGGTTTAAACACTTATTTACCAAGTGAAGAAGCAAGAGAATCACGTCCATAATGATTTTTTTTAATTATTCTTATTGATACTTCATCAACTATAATTAAATAGGAGAGGAAAGAAAAATATTAAGAAAGATAATTATAGTGTTTTAAGAAAAATATGTCATATTTTTTTATAATTAACTAACTTACTTAATTTTTTAATATAATCAAATTAATTAAATAGGTCTTAAATTAAGGAGCAAACAAGTACATAAGATGTTTTGAATAGCTTTTTTTATGTGAACATAGTTTTATGAAATTTTTTTTTTTTTTTAAGTCCTTGGTTATGAGGATGGCAGGGGATGTTGAAAGTGGGTTAGAACGATGAAGGCGTTTTGGGTTGAACGTTGTAGTTGTAGACATTGTGTATGTTTGGGAGAGCAATTTATGGGCCACAAATAGCTTATTTTGCAGCTAAAACCCGATTTAGGATGTGTTTGGATGAAACCAAACCGTAGTTTGAAAAAGTGATTCTGAAGAATAGATTCTGGGAAGAATAGATTCTGGAAAGAATAAATTTTATGAAAAAGTGATTTTGAGAAGTGAGAGTGTTTGGATAGTTGTTATCAGAAGCACTTTTTATATATACAAATTACTAAAAAAAAGACATAAGTTAATATGATAATTACAGAAAAAATAAATTTTATGATATATTTTAATTTGAAGGAATAAAATTGTTACTAATATATTTTTTATTAACATAATTAATAATACATAAGATAATATAATTAATAAATAATTAATACGTATATATATTTATAAAATATAAGATTAAATATGTTTATAAAAAATATGTTATAAAAAAAAAACCAGATACATATCTTATAGGCTCTCACACTCTCTTTTTCTCCAAAAGCAAAAATTTTTTGCTTTTTCCAAAACCATAGTTTGTGCAAATTGGGTGGGTATTTGGATGACTTATCACCCAAACCATGATTTGGGTCCCCAAACCATGGTTTGAGACGTCACCCAAACGGTACCTTAGAAAGTAAGCCTATTTGAGAAAGATTGTGCAAGACCGCACTCGGGGGCTAAAAATGGGACTAAGCGCGCGATTCACCTTAAGCTGGGGGATGTAACTTTTTCAAGTGGCAATCGGGTTTAGGACCGTTGGAAATTGTCGGAATATTATTTTTCTCTCACTCCTCCTATTATTCTCTTGTTATTTAATGAAACTCATGTTCATTTTGGTCATTTTACAACCTTAACATACCTTTATTAGATTATAATCCAAACAATCTTTTACTCAAATTAACTTTTACAAACTAATTTTTTTTATAAAATCTAATCTAAACACAATTCACATTACTCGATCTAACTTTTGCTCAATCTCATTTTTTCAAAAGTCAGATTGCAAATAAATTATTTTTTCTACCGCTAATCTAAATGAACTTATTATTTTCATCTTCAATCAACTTTCAGGTTTCAGTTGTTTTCTTTTTCCCTCTTTCCGAATATGACGTGGATTTAATTAAAATGCCATCCCAACTTCTTTTACTAGAGTCAGCTCTCTCTTTTTTGTAGTTTTCAACAACTGAGTCATAACAAATTATAAATATAATGAGTTAAATTTGAGAAATTGAGTCATAATTAAGTTAAATATACAAAGAGTAAAAGATTAATTTTTTCTGTTATTTAAATTTACATTTTGCGTTATTAATGTCGTATAAAATAGTGTGATATTTATGATTTTAATGTTAATGGGACTCCAACTTTTGTTTGTCACCTGCTATTTTATCAAAGAGGTTGCAACGGTAGTTTTTATGTTATATATAGAGTTATAGATTACTCCTCCGGCCCTTAATATAGCGCCTAATTGTTGAATTGATTTTGATTCTAAATATAAGACCTATTTTTTATATTTATCATTTTTTTTCTAAATTATCCCTATAAATACTTTCTCAATTATAATCAAGTAGAAGACGAGGGAGGATATTAAGAAAGATGATTATGGTGTTTTAGAAAAAAAAAATATCATATTTCTTATAATTAACTAACTTATTTAACTTCCTTAATCTAATCAAATTAGTTAAACAGGTATTATATTAAGGACCGGAGGGGTATTATATTATGAAGTAAAATATTCTAACTTCTCTAAGAATATTGTCAAAAGATATTTTTCAATTAAAAATTATATTAAAATAAATTACATTTATTAATTTCCTTTTCATCATATTAAATTTATAATTTTGACTAAAATTGGTTTAAAGAATTTAAAATTTTTCTTTTTTGTAAATATTTATTTATTTAGTGTTTTCATTATATTAGAACAGTAACTCAAATAATTTGATTAATGTAGATATAATAAATGTGTTTATATATACACACACTTGATTAAATGTGTTTATAAATGTTCGAGGCAGAACATAAGTTTAAAAATTTTGGATTTATAAATTTAAATGATTTATACAATATCTTAAAGTTACATTATTTATCAATTTAATTGAATAAAAAATGTGTTTGAAATATGTTTTTATCAATTTAATTAAAAAATAAATAAATTTCAATAAATATGATATAAATTCAAAATGACAAAATTTTATAATATCATCAAAATTAAAAAAATTATAACATATTAAAGAACTTTAAACAAAATATTTATTATAATTTTTTACGAACTAGAAATGCTTAAATAAAGACAATACATGCATCAAGTTCCTTATATCAATTATGCCAAGTTCTCCAATCACACATGACTATGTATCATATTTTTAAAATACCAGTATCTAATAGTATTTAATTATAAATCCATATGAAATGAAAAAGACTAAGCGTGATTGAATAACTTAATACTTGCAATTTTTATAATTAAATTAAATACTTTATGAAGATTTTTTTCCCTCTATTTTTTTTCAAGTGTCAAGAGAATGAAATCAGTCTGATTTTTTGGATGAGGATAATGAGTAAGGAGGGTTTTGGTCCCCAAAAAAAAAGAGTCAGGAGGGCCCTCACACATGTCACGTGTTGGAATCGGAATCGTCTTCGTTCCCGGATAATTGGATTTGGAATGGCGAGCTGATCTTATTTACAGACATGATGACAACAATATCTGTGTAGGCTTCGCTAAGGTCCGGTTCGTGACAGATCGAGCGAAGGATGATGCAGAGAAATTCGCTTCTCTGTACTTCAAGTGCATTCTCTTCCTTGCCCAGCCCTCCCTTGACCTCTCAGCGACCAGCTCTTCTATTCCAGCTACCTCCGTTCCCGTCTTCTTGGACCTTTACACTTCAACAAGACGACCTTTTCCAGCTTTGTACATCACTGGTAAAAGCCACTTATGTTTTTCTCTCTGGGTTTTATATAATTAGAAGTTGCATTCTATAATATTGTTGTTTTACACAATCCTTTTTGTAATAGGTTGCAATGAGTTCTCGATACATCATATAATATTTGTTTCTCTCTAGAACTTTTATGTATCATTTTTGTACTTCAAAATCGTGAAGGGAAAAATGTGAAACTTTCCATGATAAAATGATTTTAAAAAAATCCTTTTTGCTGGAGCTAATTAATACTAAAGTTTTTCTATTTGGCAAATTAAGGCCTTAAAATGCATTATTCAACACTGACCATACTTCTTATCAGAAAAGTGGTGGACCCTTGGGAACTGTCGTTAATGTTTTCAATAGTGGAGCCAATGATCTACTGCAAGTTTTGCTTGATTCATCTTTTGATATACTTCGCAAAAGTGGCGAGCCCAGGTCAGCAGAAGCAGAAGCGTCCAATCCGCTTGTTTGGGTGCCTTTTGACTTTTGTAGAAGCAATTGTACTTGATGTTGGTATGACTAGAAGAGAAATGCATATTACACCGCCTAAGGGACTCCTAGAACTAAACTTGTGATCCAAAAAAGAAAGATCAACTCGTGAGGCATAATACTCTTTTGACTCTACCTTTAATTTGCTACTTTTAGGGACTTTGAGCTTTTCAGTATGATTATTGCTGATGCTGTGCTACCTTTCTTAATCTCTTTAATCTTAAGGGGAATAGAGGGTAAGGAATTTATGTGCAACTTGGTTTATGACTGTATGCTTGATGCTTTCTTTTGGTCTTCTTTATTTTTCGGCTCCTTTTTCTGGGTCCAATACCTGCCAGTTGATTCACTTGATTCCTAACCGAAAGGGACTTAGACTTTCATAATGTGGCATTCAGCTGAACCTGTCAACATCCATATTTACTGGATCACTTCTTTTTATTAGTTTTTTTTTTTTTTTTGGTTTCCCTGGCTTAATCATATTTGACATGGTGTTTGTATCATGGATCAATGATACCAATACTT